TGGACTACCTTTCTCTTTGTTTCTTTGCCTGGACTCTAAGATCATCCATTTTAGGGAATTTTTAGTTCTGAAGTGGAAAATTTTGAGCCATTTTAACAGTGATTTCATGAGCTTGTTCTTTCCTTTTAGTCAACGCTACGTTAAAAGCCATGGGGTGTTTACTCAAGTTTTTCATTTTAAACTAGAGGAAATTGAGGGCTGCTTCATTTTGGGATGGGCCACTAAGAACTCAAGGAAACTGGTCTGACTGGCCACCAAGCACTGGAGTTAATTTTTAGTTCTGTACACTTGGTTTACAAAAACAACTACACTACAATTGCTTATAACTTTACTGTTCCCAAGATCTAATTTTTCATTCTCCCTTCAAGCTGCTTCAGATTTCCTTGTTAATTAGTTACAAAAATTTAGTGTTAGATCAAGGTAAAAAGTTCTAAGCGATAAGTTTGAGTATTCTCATTACCAGTTTGCAGGATAATTTAGAGATATACTAGGGAGATTTTATGTCTTGGTCGCTTTTAGATTTAAAGGGTAAATTCAGACTACTTGTAATCAAACCAGGTAAAACTTCTGGGAAATGAATTTAGGTCTGTGTTTGAAAGCTTACTGTCATAGCTTGCTTGACTGTTTTGTGTTTATGATGTTAAACATCTGAATTTCATGTAATATTTCCTTACATTTTTCTGTGTATTGTGAGCTGTGATTGCAATTGAGAGTGTTATTTTAACTCTTCCACTCCCAGGAGTGACAAAAAGGGCATTTCTCCTTACAACTTTAATGCATTTACAGGCAGAAAGGTTATAAGAAGTTAGAAGAATATCAGTTTGAGGATGTTCGTGGAGTCAATTCCAAATTCCCAGACCTAAAATGATAAGAAATGCATGTTAGATAAGGCAGAGAGTTGATAAATACATGTAGCGTGGGAACTGAAATATTTGAGACACAATTTTTAAATTTCATTACAGATATTGTAACAGAATGCAAGAGGAGAACATTAACAGAGCAATAATAGTTGTACAGATGGGAATGACACCTTCAGCCAAACAGGTTAGAAAATTAGAATCAGTGATGACAGCAGCTCATTACCCGGAGCTTCCATACCAATTGTACCCTTGAGTCAACTCTGTCCTGTATCTTTTTATTTTAAGAACTGAGATATGTGGGGGGTTCTTTAATTTTTCGCATAAATTTTCCGCGCCTTTTGCCATTATTGAAATACTTTTGTGTTCTGCATGTGACGTAAACAACAGAGGACCACAGCTCTCTTATGATTGGCTAAAAAGATAATAAAATAAAAAGATATTGGACAGGGCTGACTCACAGGGTAAGTATGGAAGATGGAAGCTCCAAGTAATGGGCTCCTGGTGATGAGTGAGGGTGCTGCTGTGAAATAAAGAAAGAACAGCAACAACAAAACAGAACAAGAATGTGTGTGTTATTGTGAGCAGGGTTCTCATTAAGTGTCAGCTGCCAGTGAAAAAATGGGCTACCTTGATTTCTGAGCCACCTTCACTGTCGACTTGCACTTTTCAAAAAATATTGTGTTGTGAATAGTTGTGCACAGTGACATGTAATAAAAATTAAGGCAAGTCACTGCTGCAAAAATTTCACGAGCAGACAACTTTCATGAGAGCCATTTTTGTATTCTACAGAAACGTATGCTTTACTTCATGTTTAACTCCCTAGTTGAGCACCATTCCAATCTCTACCTGCTGAGTGTGTCCTAGGCAACCAACTGCCTTACTACTTTGCATTTACCTCTAAAATAATTCATAGAATGGCATTTTGGAGCCTTTGAATTTCCAAAATGATATTTCGTGAGGGAGCATGCCCCAAGATCCTGGGAAGGAGCTATCGCATTGTCAGCCCTCTGGTTCATGCAACCTGTCAACTACTGCATGACTTATTGGGAACCCTGTGTTTTGTTGTGTGATAACTGGGAGATGCTCTGGCCAGATTTGCCTCTTGGCTCTGGTGCAAATTCAGCCCTTTACTTATTGTGTGACAATTTTGGCTTTGTTAAAACCAGAAACTGACCCAAAACTAACTAGGAACAACTGGCTGAGTTTTTCAAAGCTGGGTTAAGATAACCCAGGGTTAGTGGGAAATGTAATCTTAAAGCTGTGAAAGAAAATTCATCATAATCCTTTTTGTGTCCAATTTAATGATTGGATGCTCTAAAAAGAATAAAGAAAATTATCCACCAAGGCATTTGAACAAAAGAATAAGGAAAGTTAGATTAAAATTTAACCCTGGGTTACAACTAATCCGCCTTCAGGCCTTGGAGCCCAAAGTTCTGGTGTACAATGGAACTTTTACTCTACACTGTTGTGTTATTTTATTTTTATATAATTGCAGATCAAAAGTAATTGGCAAATTTTGCAAAAATAATAACTTGTATAATTTTTTGGCAGCAAAGTATATATAGTGTATCAACACATCACCATTTTGTTCTCCAAGGCTTTAGTCGACCTGGCACCAAAATACATCTTGGAGCAATTTATGGAGGCAGAGCTCATGGTGAACATTACAGAACACGAGGTAAGTAACACCATAATTCCAAGTCCTTGGAATTAAAAAGACAAATACTAAGTTTGATGACAATTCTAGTGAAAACCTCAGAGAACTGGGCACACTGGAATTATACCAATACACTTTTGAATAAGAAGATAATGAAAGATAAGATAAAGGAAGTATCACCCATAAAATATTTTGTGATCTAACAGCAAGCTTTCTAGAGCTAAAATTGTAAGAAATAGTAGCGGAGCTCGCAGAGCGTAGCCCCATAATTATACAAAATAGTAGTAACCCATCAAGCCGAAAAAATTTACGACCGTACGACCGTACAAGGTGCTACTTTTAACATGCATGGTCAACTGTACCGCGGGCACGCCAACGCCACGGCTTTGTTCAGTAGGCCAGTGGTCAGTGCACTGGGCTCCGAGTCGGACGACCCGGGTTCTAGTCCTGGCCGGGGCAAGGCGTTGTGCCCTTGAGACGCGCGGGAAAAAAAAAATGGAAGCTCCGCTTCTAGGCTTGGCTAAATCTATTTATTAGGGCAGATAGTGTGGAAAATTTACTTTTAGATCTATGGAAGAAAAGTGGCCAAAGTTAAGATCCACACGACTTCCAAAAAAAAAAAAAAAACTTGAAAAAAAAGAAAACGACTCTCGTTATTCCCTTTTTCTTTCTCTTTCAGCTTGTTCCAGAACATGTCCTCATGACGCCAGAGGAAAAGACAGAGCTGCTTCAGAGATAGTATCCTTGACTGAACTCGCAAACTCTCAGAGGTTTCTCTGTAGAATATCCAGACATTATCTAGCAAACAAGTAACATTAATACTCAAACTTATGAGGGAAAAGTTGTTCGCTTGATCTAACACCAAATTCTTGCTACTAATTTACTGGGAAAAGTTTAGCCGCTAGTGGGGAGAGTTAACAACCAGATCTTGGGTGTTGAAGGGTTATGAGCAGTTGTATTGTCAAGGGGCAGTGCTTACTGTAAATGTGTCGAGTTTGTCAGCTACATGTCTGTTGTACCTGATACCTGAAATAAAACTTTTTCGATGTTTGTTTGTTTTTGCGTGGGCTACACACCCTTAACAATACTTGTAGCAAACTGAAGGAACATCAACTTCCTCGTATCCAGTCAGGCGATCCAGTTGCGCGATATTTTGGACTCAAAAGAGGACAGGTGAGCTGGACACAAGTCTCCTCTGTATGACTCACCCTCACGCATGATAATTTTTTTTTCATTTGGTCGCGTCAGGAGCCCATAACTGATGTGATGGGCTCCTGGTCGCGTGAAAATGCTTTGTTTGGACAGTCGTTTAGCTGAAGAGGATCTTGTGACGGGAAAGAACCGATTTGCGTCCGTAAAGTTACGGTGGGTGAGCCCCAAAAATTCGGTCACTCGTTAACCAATCACATGCAAGTGCGAACTCTCGCGAACTCTCTCCGAAAGTTGATAAGTCTTCGCAAAGTACTATGGTACCTCGTTATGCTGCTAAGAAAGTCCGGGGATAATTATTTTTTAAATTTTATAGTCTGTGTAAGGAGCCCATGCGGATAAAGGGCTCCCATTTGTGAAAAGCTTTCAACTCGGTCAATGGAAAAGATCGAAAAACAGGGTGAGAGAAAATTATTACATTTATATCGTTGAAACGAAGAAAGGTGCCGCCGTTTTCCAACTTCGCCCTGTTTAGCTCGCACGGTTTTTTGATCCTCTTCAATGACCGAGAGTCAGATGAATGATATCGATTTCTCTTACATTTCACCCCTTTTTTCCCAGTAGAATATGAATTTCGCCTATTACATTTCTAACTTTGGTAACCTCTCCTGACTCGTGAATTTCTTACTTCACAGGTTGTAAAGATTATTCGCCCTAGTGAAACCGCGGGTCGATACATAACCTACCGACTCGTCGTGTAATGTAAATTAAGAGTCTACAAAATCACCCTCAAGTTTCCCTCCTTACCAGACACAGCCAAGGATTGGTATGGGCAAAGCCTCATGTACTTTTAGTTCAATTTGTTCGTTTTATTTGTTCGGTCAAGTAACAAGTGCTCGCAGTCGACATTTGTTCGTTAGAGAACCGACGACAGTCCGATTCCTATTTTCCAATTAGAAATTACGCGATCTCTCCCGAAGTTGAGCCGACAATATGTCGTCATAACGTTACGTGAAGTCGTGTATTCCGAAGAACATCGAGTCATTCTTCTCGCTGCCTCGGTGCTCGTTTCGTTGGTTCTGCTCGGTGTTGGTGAAGTTGAAACGGAGCTCGTGTAAGTCTAAAGTTTTCCTATTACTGGATGGAGTTATGTGAAGACCTTAAAGAAATTTCTCAATGAAAGTTGCTTAAAATTGTTATGGTCATCAAGTTCCATGGAGATGAAGAAGAGTGAAGGATGCTGAGTGAAGCCGAGAGAAGGCGAGTGACGCCAAGTAAAGTCGAAATAAGCCGAATGAAACCGAATGAAGCTGAGTGAAATTCAGAGCAAGAAAGGACGCATTCAAACTGACCGCTAGGCTTGCGGTTTGCCTTTGAAAGGTTTTATCCTTTAATGTGAGGCTACCTCGCCGAGAATTTTTTAAAAAAATCATTAGAAGTTGGGATTGTAATTTATACAGCAAGAGGCGGAATGTTAGCGTTTTTGTTTTAAAAATAAAAGTCAATAATTTGAAGGCAAAGGTATTTTTTTTCTTTCTTTTCCTTTTGTTTTTCGTTTGTTTATTACCATTAGACCAAGGAGCACTCTGCAATCCACAGTCCTGTACAGAATAGAGTAAGGGAGAACCTCCTTTGGTCTCGTGTAGGTCTAATATATACTCTACTTCTCGTACTTATGGGAGACTTTTAGCCTAGCAGTTTCTTCTCTCGTCGACCGCGTGTTTTTCGATCACATGAAAAAAGTTTTTTCCGTAGGAATAATAATGGGCTTGAGTTTCGTCGTTCTTCGCTCCCGTGGATGACTTTTTGGGATGAACGCAGGCTCATTACCCGGACAACGGCTGGTAATACAGCCTAGAAGTCAGCAAGTCCTACATGACAGAGAACAGCTTTATTACCGTCCTTACTTCGCACGAGTAACGTCTGCTTTGCACGTGATGTGTCCGTGGCAGTTGGGTTGTCGCACAACTCGCCATGCGGTTGAATAGAGCTATTTTAGTCTTCAAATACGCCGATACAGACAAATATTGTCACATACTGCTGTGTCATTTGCAGTGTAAGTCACCATTGTTATGTTACCATAATTTACTTCCAGCTTATTCTTTCACGGAAGGCGATTTTTGTAGGCACGTACTCAGAGCGAGAGACCCACAGATGCAAGGATTTGTTTTGAAAATAGTATTCGGTTCCCATAGGAATACTTCCTGTTTCAATTCTTGAAATGAAATCATCAATCCTGGGTTTAGAAGACTCAAGAGTGCTGGAGTTTGTATTTTGTAGAAAAGGAAGGGGCTTATTAAATCATAAGGTTTCTTCGTGGCGTAAGATTACATTTGGGAAATTAATCTTGGATTCCCTTGATGCTCTGGTGTTTGTTTCAGTGTTGGATAGTTATTCCACTCATTTGTAACAAGTCGCCAATATCGTGGAATATCACTGAATGAAAGAACGCATTGAAGCGAAAAGACGCAAACAACTGGACAATTATCAGTATCAATTTTTGTAAAACAATTTTAATTTTAACACTCTAAAGGTTACACTGCCTAGCTAAAACGGTAAACAGCCAACCCAAGTAACATTTTGTCTCTATTTCCAGTTTAGAGGCGAAGTAAAGCGGAGGAGGAAAAATTAATAGATTCTACCACGTTAATGTACAATTTCGTTTCCTTCGTCGCCTATCAAAAAAGCGATAATATCTCATCTCTCAAAAGCTCAAATTCTCTGAATTTTCATTTCATAAATAATTTATAATATTTCAGACTTTGTTCCGTGTGAAATTAACCGAATGTTTCTTTGACTAGCTGCATAAGCTTTTTCTTTCCTTTGTACAAAACTTTCATATTGTTTATGAGCGCGTTGAAGCGTCCATTTCCGTCAGAAGCTAAAAGAAAAGTTTCCTGTGCTTTGCTGAGGAATGTGATGAAGTCCATATAATGCTTGGGACTAATGTGATTCAGTCTGCTATGTGCAGTGTTCACATATGCGCTAATGGTTCCCTCCAAAAGCTGCCTCAAAGGTTCTTCTTCGCAGGTCACCCTGCTATTGTCCTTAACGTAATATTGCCCATTCTGGGCCTCCTCCACAGCGGCCTTTGCAAGGGTGCACCGGAAAAGCAAATCTGATAGCACCGTTGGACAGTGTACTGCTTTGACGATGAGTGGAATGATCTGTGTGAGTTCGTTGTAGCCAAGAGCTTGGGACAGAGCGCATGCCCAGTGAATGTCTCCGATAGATGGGTGGCTGTCTTGGTTGTAAGCGAGGGTGAAGTGTTTCATGGCAAGAGTGGCAAGTTTGAAAGCTCTCTGAGGATAGCCGCGGTAGTCCATGTAGCGCGCAATGGCGAAGAGTTGTGTCGGTGGAATCACGGCGGCCGACTCTACAACTAAGCGATAAGCTGTCTCAAAGGTAGCAGGGTTTTTCTCGCAGAGCGTTAACGTAGAAAGGCAGCAGCGCTGTGGGTCTCGGCTGGCGCACTGCAGAGCCAAGGCTCGAGCACAACACATAAGCGCTTCCTTCTCGATCACTGTTAGCTCAAGACGCGCCGCCGTGGAAGGTGCCATCACGGCAGTAGCCACCTGAGATGTGGCTTCTGTTGGAGTGAACAGCGTGCTCCAGCTCTTCATGATGTGGCTGAGAGCAGATGTGCCAGATTCCACGGCGCATTCTATGACCCACTGCACCATGTCACGCCGCCTCCAGTTGTGAGCATTCAGCGTCATCTGTAGCACTTTGAGACCCAGTTCCATCGCAAAGTGAAGCATGTCAGGGTCGCGTGTTTCTGACGCCTGATCAGTGGACAGTTTGAAAGCGTCTTGCGCCAGACGAAATAGCTGAGTTGCAGAGTGTACGTGCTGTTGTGAGGCTTGTAGAATGGCTGGTAGACGTTCAGAAGAGTCCTTTGCAGCATTAAGTAGGCGCGATGCTAGCTCACACTGCTGAGATTGCAAGTGTCCTAGAGTGTACAATCGAGTGGACCTAGCATGGCCCACCGCGGGTATCTCCTCGTCCGCAATGTCACCTGGGAAGTCATCCAACGCTAAGAAACGCATTGCGCGGAGGCCAAGATCAAAGGCAAGATGTAAATCCTTTTGCATCAAGTTGCTAAATAAAAATCGTGCAAACGTGTGCATGGGAATGCTGTTTTTCTGCACTCCAAGTCCTAGGCTACTGAATGGCCCACTCTTCAGTAGAAGTTCAGTTTGTGTTTTGAGGACAGGATACAAAACATTGTCAAAAGTTAGAAGATTCAGCTGTGCGATGAGATGTTCCTCTTGACGACAAGCTTTGTCCTGCGCGTAGAATCCCACGGGGATAGATCGTTGCTGTCCCAGCCCCATGAGGGCCACTTCAAGAGCTAATGTTAAGAAGGTGTCATTTCCGTTCCCACATTCTGGAAGAGGAACGTTTGTAACGTTTTTAACTTCATTACATTCTGTACTGCCTTCAAACTCTGATTCACTATCTTGAGGCCCGATGGCTTCCTCGATAAGAGTGTCATACAGTACAACAATTGGATCGAGCTGATGTCCAATCCATCCCTCTATAAATCCATCTCTTTCTGTACTTTCATCGCAAAGTTTCTCCGCAATGTCGTCCTCGCTGAACTTCTCCAACAAAGCTTCCATTTCGTAAACTTTCTCCAACTGCTCCTCTTTCATACCTCGTGCTACAGCGACAGCCAATCGCAAGGCTTCTTGAGGATAGCCATGCGCTCGTAGGGCATCTACACGTGCGGCTGCCATGGGAACGTCCTCTGTTGACGCAGAAAAACAAAGACTTGTTTAAGTTTACATCAGGCGTAAAAACATACTCCAAACTTTAAGATATTCCTTTTCCTTTGCATTCCTTGTGTAAGACTATTCATAAACCCATGTTCTCAGCACAATTCTGTATACTTTTCCAAAGGTGCCGACAAGGAGAATTTGTTTAACAATCAAAAGCATCTCTTGTTGGTGATCATTACCTTTATTCTCGTGACCTTAATGTGTGATTCAGAAAATTAAACTTATGGACCTATGTTTTTCTACTTTAATCAAACAATCCTCACCTTTCCATGTTAGGCATTCAATATCTTTATCTTGGCCTTCGCGTCCAATGAGGCATTTTAAAATGTGGTCTTCCCAGTCCAAATCACAAGCGTGCATTGCCCTAGAAAACACGGTACGGCGCGTGCACATTTCGTCGGAAACATTGTCAATCTCGTCTGCGAGTTGAGCATCTGGATTTTCCAACGGGCAAACTTCTTGCCGGCTCCATGTTTCTAGTTGTTGTTTCCACGCGGCTTTTTCCGCACAAGTGCTGTCTGGGTTCAACACTACGCACACCCACAATGCACCGAGTTGATCCCACAACTGTCGACACTTATCATTCATCGAAGTGCCTTGTTCTTTCCAAATTTGTAGTCGAGGGTCAGCTAAAAACTGCTCTGTGATGAGTCTGAGCATGCGTGAGCCATTATTGTCATGGACACGAAGCATTTCTCGTACCTGTGGGGTATTAAAGGTCATCATTAGAAGATGTTAGTGTCCAAGGATGTGAATTTTTAAAAAAGCTTTTGCAATGTTCAGGCGCTGAAAACGAGGAGAAAAGTTGTCATGGACAGCGAGAGATAATAGTAACAGAGACGTGACTTCAGCAGATGTTTTTGTTGTTGTTAACTTGATTAATATTTCAGGTTTACTTGTGTTTGTTTTTATTTTAAAGATATTTGTGTTCAGTGAAACAATCAGTACTGTTTCCTACCTTAGCAAACATCGATAGAAGGTGTTTTCCGCTTCCATAATACCCTCCTTGAGACAAATAATTTCTAACTTGTTGCCTAACTTGTTCTGCATCTAAATGCCAGCAACTTTCATCATCCGCTCCAGCGCCTGCGGTTGGATCAGGAGCGCCTGGTAAACGGTTTATCTCTGAAGTTTTGAGCAGAATCTCGTCGGCCAATCGCTGAGCAGTCGGCAAAACTTCGGTGTGATGCTCAGTTATGAGATACTGTAACAGTTTCTGAAGTTGTTCGCGATTCATTTGAAGTAATGTCTCTGAGATTGGTACCCTTAAAGTGACTTTTTCTGGATTGCGAATTCTGTACAGGGCAAGCGCAACGACGTGAGGACACCAGAGAATGTCTTTGTTACCACAAGTGCAGGACACTTCGGTTATTTTACATCTATCGAAACCAACTGACACATTATATTCTTCTTTTTGAGCGCCATACTTTGTGTCTTCCTCCTCAACGACTTTTCCACTCAGTTGAAAACCTGAAACGCGACAATCATACCAAGCGAATTAAAATAAACTCCCGAGAAGGCTTTCCTAATGGAAAATATTGGTTTGATTGGAACAGACCTATTTTCTACAGCGATATAAATCGTCTATTGTTTGTCTGGGTTAATTGTTTCTTTGACGTATTTTGCTTCTCTTTGTTAGAATGCAATTATGATATGATTAATCCACTGAAAGACTTCATTTTCATACCAGCCATCTTTAAGCGCCTTAGACAAGAAAGTGTACCGTCTTCACCGCAATATTCGCCTCAAGCCGTTAAACTATAGTGTTGAGTGATTCAAATGAAATCTATCCTTTACAGTTACTGCTGATTTTTTTCGTCCGATGGTTTACAAACTCTGATGTACAACATGACCGTACAGTACTTTGGACCAATGACCTGTTAACATGATCTTTCACGTTAATAAACTTCACTCACAAAGACATGGTTTTCTGTTACATTTCCACACATAAGTAAGCTTCAAATCCGCGTTTTTAACCTTTGATCGAGAAAGCGCCTTAAAGAAGTTCTACTCCCGGGTAGATGAAAATCTTGGGAAAGAAACTTCCCTTTATTGAATTAATAAAAAATGTGTGGTTGAAATGAGCTCAAAACCACGCAGGGAGGATTCCGAGTTGCAAAGACTTTATCCTGTTAGGTTCAAACAAGTCTATTACTTCAAAAATGCGCTTTCAAGAAGCAGTTTGCAATTGAAATCTGTTGAAAGAGCACATTCGTTTTCTTTCTATTGTCTTCGAAGAAATACGAGAAAACTGATAATCCTGGTCGTGATTTTGGTTTGTTGTTTTGTATTTCATTTAATATCCTGAAATGAATTGTCGAATGAATTCCTTTTGCATGCGCGCCCGCCCAGACAAGAGTGCATCCTTCTCGTGTTGCACGTAGGGCGTTTCCTTCAGGTACAGTCTCTTTCCTTTTCGACTGAAACGAATTATCACCAGAAGGCTTGGAAAATGTGGTTCAAGCACTGACGTTGAAACAAGGAAACACCAGCAAGGAAAGAGAAAAATTGCCTCAGTAACTGGGCCGCCTTAAAAATGAAACAACTCGCACAGGTGACTGACCTCGCGAAGTATTCAACCCTGCGGCAATGAAAAAATCGAACTGATTTTCTTTTCCGATTTTGAGATAAAAGCAAGCACTTTTCATGCAGCCCCTTTTCCTACAGAGCTTTAGTTTCTTAAAGCGAAAGCAAAGGAGCAATTTCACCGTGGTGAAAAGCTCCTCCACAGATTTTCACCTATCCTCTTTGTATTTAAAACAAATAAACAAACGAAGGTTTAGTCAGTTCATGTAGTTACAAAAATAGCGAAACTTTTGTGAGCGAGCAACGAAAGGCACAGTTTCAGCGACGCTTGTTTCAAACTAATTAAACTGCGTAGTACTGTTATAGTGTAATTTTCGAGGTTTGCGTAAATGGGAGTTACGACTTTTTAGGCTCAGTGAAAATCATCAATCAGGAATATTAGACGACAAATTTGCTACAAAGTGACAGATGTGTGTGTAGGAAAGGAAAATTACAAACTTAGTGTAAAGGGTTTGAGCTCACGTCGCCCAGATTGGTTTGGGATTGTAATGTGGTGGTGGCAGGAACCTTTGTGTAAAGAATGTAGTGATGAATTGATGGACCTAGTGAAATTACGACTTATTTCCTTGCACAGAAACAGGAATAAAAACTGAAAGTCTTAGTTCATTAATATCAACACTTTACAAAGGTGACTCTGTTTGCTCAAGCGAAAACCTGACGATTGAACTTTGATGAGAAATTAAAACTTAGCTGGGGGTTTTTGCTCTGATCCAAGAAAACTTGCAAATACCCGACTCACTGTTTTTGCGAACTCAAAAAACCATGCAATTGAAACAAACTGCGGACGCTTTCAACCATGGAAGAGGTATCGCTAAGATACAGATTTTTTTAAAGCTCCTTCTTAAGTATCAAAAGGAGATTGGAATTATGAGTGTCTTACTACCTACAACAAAATTAGTTCGACTTTTTTACAAGAAAGCGAGTAGCGCTTTGTAAACTGTAACAATGTAAGTTTCACTCGAACGACCTAAAGTTCAACAGAATCACGAGCGAATGTAACAATTTAAGGCGAAGTTCCATGGTCACCGGTCGTATCAACACCACAATTTCATTCGTGTCACACGCGCGGCTAGAGATGAATTTTTTACGCTAATAAACAAATTCATGTACTTTGAAAAATCACGCGCTGCCCGCAGAATCAACCAGTAGACTTGCAAGAATCTGTATAAAAAAAATCCATAGCAAAGCTTCGATTGCGAAAACCGATAGCAAGAAATTCCCTTAAAGCGGAATTTTATAGGGTTACCTAGGAGGTAAACTTTGGGCTAAACTGATAGCGGCTCTCTCAGGGTTATTACTATTCTTATTACAATTGATGGTAGACTGACTGGCGCTAGCGCTCAGGAGGGTGAAAAAACAGACCAAATTAAGCACGAATGCATTCAATTTTCAATGAAAATGCTTGAAAACTCTTATACCTTGCCCAATTTGAAATTTTGCAGCTTCCTGACGATCCTGTAAGAGATTAAGTTTTTCTTTTCGCCCAATTTATGTTAGTTTAGGTCAGTTGTACCCATAGAAAACCGGCACAGTGTCGCAAACTTTGAAAATTCACTTACCGACTTGTAGAACATCTCTGACGGCGTTTTCTTCAAGAAGAGCCAAACCTCTCTGAAATGGCAGCCTTTTTGCATCGTTGTGTGAAACTGTGGCATGAAGAGACGAGTACATGCAAATATCTCGCTCATTTCTCGGGAAAGACCAGTAAACCACTTTGAGTTGTACGGGCTCAGGTATCGGAGTTCCTTGTTCCTCTACGTGTTGGAAAGGAATATTTGCTGCCACGCATTGAGCGCTTAAATCCAACAGAGATAAAGGTTCATTTTGTTGTATTTCTTTGTGAAGTTTACGAAATTTTGTCGGTTCTCGACTCGGAGAAGCCGTCCTCGGACGCTTGCGTTGTGTAGCCATCAGAGCAAATGAACGCAGGCTATCGCCACTGTAAACACAATCACAAGTGTTGAGAAGAACAGACTCCCCACGTCGAACCCCTCTGGTCTTTACAATGAGATGCGAGATAATTCACGTTGTCAAAATGAAAATTTCGGCAACCGCTCGCAACCGACTTTGTTCGCGAGCTCCCTCTGTGGTCATAGAATAATCTGCCAGGAGAAAACAAAGCAATCTTGAGTGATAATATAAAACTCAACCGGCGTAAAGCTGTATTGAAGCTTAGTGGTCGCGCACTGATCAACAGCTCGACTCTCCTCACCCTAATTGGCAGCTGGAAACAGGTTCTCTCCCCAGGGACTTTTTTAGTGGCGCTGTTCTACGGTGTTTGTGTTCTTTCGTGTTCAGGTAGGGGGGAAGAAGGTTCTGCGATTTTAACGAGTGTTTGAGGTTATTTTAACACCGCATCAAGGATTGATCGCTTTGTATGTCAAATCGAGTGACATTTTCAAAGGCCACAAGGTTTACTTTGGGTCTCGTATGGCTCCCGTTTGGCTGTGAGTGGCAGATAAACCGCTGGAACTGGCGACAGTGTGTCTACGAACCCCTGGCACGTGTAGGCCCTGAGTGCGTTGATTGACATGTCTCTATTATTAAACGTATAATTAAATTAATAGAAATTTACATTGCGGACGTTACGTCACTTGAGTGTAGCGATTAAATGAAAACCCAGTTGGTCACGACTAAGAGGCGACTGTAGAACCTCCTCGGCGGCTGGAGACGATATATCAAAAGAGACAGTATTTAGGCGTAGATAAGTTCATAAACATAGTAGGCCTAGTGGGGAATTTGTTGATATCAGGGAATTAGTGCCAGCGAGAGCCTATTGTGTGACAACTTCGTTGAAATTCGTTCCATTTAGTCGCCCCGGGAGAGTAGTGGCGTGTTTTTATGGACGGCTCACTGGCGCCAGTTCACAATGAACCCGGCATATGCATTTCAAATTTTAATAACCTGGTGTTTTAAGCCCATATTTGTTTACCAGAGGCGGAATCGTGGGTTTGACGTCTTAGCGCTGCTGTGGTATTGAAGCAAGTGGATGATTTTGAACCTACTGGACGAAAAGACGCGAATATCGACAAGGTTTTGACGCGAAATCGAACGAAATCGACGAGTTTGGCCGCCGGAAGCCGGCCGACAAGCTGTCTACAAGGGCTTATGACAGACCGATTAGACGTTGTGGGGAGCGGGGGTGTTTTGTGATTTGGCGACATTCTGTCGCCGGCGACAATGGAGGTCTGAAGATTGGGGGTAATGTTGAATTTGCAGTATTTTGAGAATTCATGGATAGGCGATCCACTGATGGCTAGGATATTGGCCTCCTGTGAATAGCGTGCCTTGTGTTTTCGAAATGACAATTAGTTGAGTTAAAAAAAAAATATTCAGTCTTCGCTTCCTCAAAATATTTCAACCGCCAAGCGCTGATCAGCAGGTACAATGTACGTTCACGTTCTATTAGTTTTCAAATGATAATCCCTTTTTAAAAGTCCTTTGGGGCGCTCAGAAATTGCTAGAGATTTAAGCGGTCCTTTTGTGTTTTAAGTCAGGGACTGCGAGATCTTTATTTAGCGTCTAGTTGGTTTGTAGAATTAATAGGCACTCGGATCACCTAATATCGTCTTTGTGGCGTTGAAATCAAATTCCGTGCGTTTTATAATGGCGAAAGGAAAGTGTCTCTACTTGTGCGTCTTCACAAAACGGCTTGAACTTAGGTTAGGATTTCCGAACGTGCTTTAGAGCTTCAAGTTAGTATTTTTAATGGTATTTCAATGCTAAGCGAGACTTCGAATGGAAAATCTGACATAATGAATCTCGAAGAACTTTCAAGTTTTTAATACACACTACAAGCTAGTTTCGACGAAAAGAATTGTCGGAAGTACATAAATATTTCCGTCATTTTCTGATCCTTTCGCAATGCCATTTTGTCATATTTGCCGCTTTTCTAGCTCAAATTGAAATCGTTTACGTGAGAAATAAATTTTCTTCACGGTACACTTACACAAACGCACTTCGGCTTGACTGATTTTCTCACGAATTCAGTGCTGAACAAGTTTGCGTTGAAAAGAAAGAAGAAATTCTTAATTTTGCTTCTATTTTGCGAGAATTTCGTAATTTGTTGTTGAAATTTAGTGTATTTTCTCGATCAATAACAAACAGCAAACAGACACGACCCAACCTAAATCTCGTACAATATCTTTGCATCATGTAACTTTCCGATGTCTGCATGTACATAACCTTGTTATTACGTGTTGCTTACCTTCAATAACCGAAACCAATTTTCGTAAGTGTTCAGGTTTTGTGCTTCAAAGTAAATTGTTGTTTTGTCAACTTGAATCACCCTGTGCCGGGTCTTCTAGATAATTTTAAACTAGATCCTCGTCATGGGATGGCTTAGTAACTTTTCATATGTTGAGCTAGTTTCGAAAGCTGTTTTACAGTCAATTAGAGATTGTCACGCCTGATTCCGAATACTTAGGTAAGCACATCAAGTATATACGTACATAAAAGGAAATAAAACAAGTCAGTCAAATTTGTAAAGAACTCTCTTGATTTTCATGCAAAATTTCTACACAAAATAGTGAAATAAACAGCTCTTTCTGAAATGACTATACCCAAGCGTTAAAATGCTAAAAATTTTGAGGCGGTAATGTGAAAGTTCTTCAAATGAAAGACTTAGTAACATTTTAATCTACTTACAATAGTTTAGCGCGCAAGCCAGTTCAAGTCAGATGCGTCTGTATAATCTGGATTTCTTTCGGCGTTGGTAACAGCTGAAGAGGTCAGCTAATGTCCTCAGTTTTTTCAAGTCTGTTTATCTTGGCTTTTGCTAGTGGCATCTGATTATTTTTAGTGCATACCCCTGGATTGACAATATATTTATATTTCTCAGTGTGGGCAAAAGAAACACTAGGTATATAACACGCTGGTGAAGTTTTTGTTAGCTTGTATTTATGGTCATGAAAATTGAGTTACGCTCCCAGCTAGCTTGCCCGGTAGCGAAAATATACACAATTTATTTCCTCAAGGAATGAATTTGTTTTGGGAAGATTTTGAGCTTAGATGCCGGTGAAACAATATTCGCGAGTTGCTAATTAGTTTGGGCAGGGCCCAGATACCCCCTGATCCAAACAAAATGTAAGTTTACCGGAAAATATTCGTTATCCAGCATGCCCTATCAGACATTATGGCGAGGGTAAGATAAGCTTTCATTTGGTCTCGCTTCCTGATCGGATCGAAGCGCCACTCGATTTGCACACTAATTTAAACAAATATAATAACACGACCACCGAAAGGGGGGCAAATCACACTAAATGGCGCATCGGAAATTTCTCTAATAATAGATCTTAATAACAAGTCAGCATAATCTCCTGGATTCTAGGAGGCAGGCAAATCTGTGGCGGTGTGTAGTGTTTCATAGGCAGATGGTAGGAATAAATTATGCAGTTTTGGAACACACACGGTTTTTGTCAGATGAGTGCTCTAAACGGCGTTATCAATAGGCCTGAGGTCTGTGAAACTCGCACCATTTTTTTTTTTAAAGGAAAGGAATAGTAAGCTTCCATAATGTTTGTCCGTTTTTTGATGTAGCTACGTTAAACCCTGTTTGTCTTATTCTGAAGAAGCTATGCACGCAAGTTTTTACATGGATTTTTTACTAACCGACACTAAAACACGGTGCCTTTTCTTCCAAAACAATTGTCATTTCCTTTTTTCTCGCGTAGGACATCCGGCCCTTTTCATGGATGACTCGATGTCGAAGATAAATGTGACTGCGTGCGGATCAAACTACGTTTTCGTTGAATACAACGAGCCATTAGGAACAGACATTTATGTTTAAACTAGAATCAGTACCCAGAGGCGATCACAAGACAAAAGACCTATTTACCGTCTTGTCATACTCTTATTTTTCAATAGTTAGCCCCATTAGATCTTTGCGGGAAGTTTGCGCCTTTGTAAGCCTCTCTGATCCCCTTGGGTCTGTTAAATTGCTCTGCTATTGGACATTTGTGCGGTCGATAAGTACCTTATATACAAGCTCAATGATGACAATATCTTTATTTATCCACACATGTCATGACAGGCTAGGTTCAAGTAGGGCCAAATGCGGTCTAGGAACAATTGCGGGAGCTGTTTCAACAGCGAATATGACAACAATGCTATGCTAAACAATGAAAGGAAACGTGCTATTAGCAAGATCAGGGATCAACATGTCGTTTAATCGTTGAAATAACCCCCTTGTTTGTTCTTCCCGTGTGCGCGCGAGACATACTGGCGCTTCGGTACTTAAAACTGTCACCGTTTGACTTTCCTTTCTTTTGACCAGGGGCCTTATCCTGTTAAACTTAATCAAGCCTCATCCTTGGTTTTTTTAATGGAATGTACGCAGAGAAATGAACACATAATCTTGCCGAATTTTGAAACTCTGACCTTTTCCGACTTTTATTTTCTCGTCCGTTTTCCATTTACCTGAATACGACTATGTTAGCGAAATTTTTTTGCTCACAAAACTTAAAGGGGATATGATATCTTCTTTCTTACCATATTTTTAATGTGAAATGAAAGCCTTTTTTGGTGAATTTTGCAACGATGGGCCATGCTGTTTGTACATAATGTCACTTCTGAAAACATTCACAGAGTGGGGCAGGCTTTTTGGGATCGTACCAACAAAATTTATTAGAACGAATTCTATTTAAAGAACGTAACTCCTATTGCGTGACAGCCGGTCACCCACCGGTTTTTAACAAAAGGGTCTTTGCCTTTGTAAATGTCCTGACGTCTGAACATTGTTATTTTTCAAAATTCATTCTCGTTCGATATGGTTCGAGCAAAGAACTTTGTATTGAAAAGAACATTTTGTGTTAAAAAGTGATGAAATGAAAACTTGACTTGATGGTCAATTGGAAGCTATTATTTAAACGAATAACTACTCGTTTTTCAGCTTTGTTTTGGTAACCTAGGAGACCCAAGTCGATCTAAGTCGATCTTTTGTGTCTACATTTACAAGTCAATCCACTCACGTAGAATATTCGCGGTTTCTATGTTTATTTTCATTCTGCTGAGTCATTTTTAAAAAAAAATTGAGAAAGTGCAAATAAATTGAAGTTTCTAGGGCGAAAATATTAGCTTTTCAAGGGAAAAGACATTGCATCGCCACCTTTAATAATTTGAACGTGTGCAACAACGCCTGGGTGTGGTAAAAATGGACTAATCGTATCCTTGACCTTTTTAAAATATTATAAATTTCAGTTTGTGCAAATTACAAGCTATACCTAACATTTTTCAAGGTCATTATCGATTAGCAATTTTTTTTCTTTTCCAAATGTAATCAGCGCTGGTTTTCTCTAATTTTCGAAGGTAATTGTTGCCTCTTGGTTTTTTTTTTCTACTTTTGTAATTGAATATTTTTTACCCCAATGCACAGCTTAAAAAATTATATAAATATTAAGGTAAGGGTCATTTTTACCTTCCCTAAAGCAGTTGTGTGTTTGTGTTGTGACTACTGTCTACAACTACTCACCCACAGAATAGCTTGCGAAGAAGTTGTCTATCACCAGTGATAGAGACGGCGCTGAACCCTTTTTATAAGAAATGTTTCCCTTTGCAGCTGAAAAGGATACTGACCTATTAGCAAACGCGGACGTGTCCTTTTATCGGCAGTGTTGTATATTATTTATTACAATCGATTACGTTTCAATTCTTTAGCCTTCCCGCCCCAGGAGACCCTGCTGGGGTATTGTACCGCCCTCCATTATCAGTTGATTGTTTTAGAAATTTGGCGCGAAAACCACCGCCAGAACGGCGTCAGTTGTGACCGCTGTTTCAAGGGGTGGGGCGCTTACGTCATACTACCTGTGGTTGTAAAATTCGTAATTCCTTACAATTAGTATTAAGACAAAACTGGGGGTCTATCCCGTAATATTTTGGCAACCTCTTATCAGAGTTTGAGTGGAAATTCCGTTTTCTCAGGTGTGATACGTGCTACGAATTCGAAATAGGTTTTTTGGTTTGTCAGAACAGGGGTTACAAATTCAATTTTGACGTGAGTTGGAAATGGTAAAGAATCCTGGAAGTATTTAGCTTTTTCACGTAAAACACTCATTTTTTATGTCTGAATAGGGAGGATACGGTCATGAAAAAGCCAGATAAACTATTAGTCACTAAAATAAGAGCGTCCCGATTCAAAGAACTCAAAATCAGGCAGTCTTTTGTGACGAGAGTGAGAAACGAGCGCATATGATTTCGCCGTAAAGCGGCGACAACCTTGGAATGGAATACGTGTTTTAATAGACTTTATCCGCTCATTTACAGTAAGCGTTATCCCTACTGTTGCCCAACAAGATATCACCAAACTGTCGACACCGGACCGCGACAGTGAGACTCTTAGGCGACATTTTAATCTCAAAACCGTGTAACCAAAATCGTGAGAATAGTTCGAACGACCTTCCCGAAGGACAATTGGTGACGCTTACTTATTATAAAATACTAAGGAATGGAAACACTAAGATGAAAGACCTCTTCACTAGACGATCTTCTCTCACGAAGCCTGTAATAAGATACTAAATCATGGTTGAAAATCATACTTATAATATTCCCTTGACTCTTCATTGTTTTGATTTGGTTTTGCGCACGCACGTACAAAGTTTGCAAAAAAATTAAACTTATCCGGTCCAGAAATGAAACAATTAAACAAAGTAGATTTCTGCGCGTCAAGATTAAAGAGGGCGCGCGTAAATAACATCACGTTTTTTACGTTTCGTGCACAAGGTGCGCACGAAATTCTTGTCGTCGAACCTGCGTGCATTTCGTGGACAAAACTGACCGCATTTAGCGAGTTCTGTACTCGAAACACCTAAGTACTTTACTTGAAAGCCATTAGAGAGAGTATTGCTTAACAAAACCACAGATGTTCAGGTTAAGCTTATGATTAACAAAAGATGTAATGATTTGATAAATGCTTGGCACGAACTAACGCGTGTGTTTGACTTATTCTGCAAGCGTCGTCGTAAAGATGCGAGAAACGAAGAGAAAAACAATTAAAAATATTGAGGCTTTTTTTTTTTTTTTTTTTTTAAGAATGAGAATTATGAAATTAAATCGTTAATGTTTCTAGCCAGGACATGTGTGCAAGTGCACCTTTGTTTAAGAAATAATTGTTTTAACAAAAGACGTTATGACATAATTTATGCATTGCGTATAGATATCACGGGATGTCATTTAGTTCAATTCTTGATATTGTCTCAGCTTATTTCTTTTCTTATTTGTCAGGTTTCCGTGTATGACTTTTTTTATTCCCTAAGTAGAATGATAGTGATCTTTAACGATGAATCGGATGTCATTTTATTTTTAATTGTAGGAAGAAGCGCTACGTGCTTGCGTTTAACTATGGCCATCGATTCATCAGTGGTGGCGAGTAGTAACTTAAAAAATTATCAAGTTTCGCAAACTTCTCGTCAGCCTTAGCTATGAGTCTTTATTACCTCATGGTTTATAGTGCGTATATTTCAATCGCTGTTTTTCTTTCTTCCTTTTTATTTCTCAAATTTGAGTTTTTGCGCCCAAAACCGAGGGTGTTAGGGCACTATAGGTTTGAGTCACTGTTGTAAGCGATCATAGTCTGTGAAGGGGCCTTTCAGTGGATGGAGCATGCAGTAAACGCAGAAACATTTATACTATGGCACGGTTAAGTAGTTGTGTTGCTAAAATTGTTCATCACCGAATCTTTTTTTAAAAAAATGCTCTTCAAGTGGGCTTTTTAGAGAAATAAACGCCCTTTAAATTACAGAATCATTGATAATATTGACACCTAAAAAATCAATAGAAACAGTTTCAGTCGAAGCTCTCGTTGAGGCCTAGTAAAAGCCGACACTACTCAAAAAATTGGAAGCAAATAGATACATATTCGTATGCGTAATTCAGTTGTAATGAATAGAATGAACTTTTCTGGTATACATGACCAGCGGTATGGTATTAAGGACAAGTACTTCTGGGATTGTCGAGAACAAAGAGCGAGCGAGACTTTCTCAGTAGTTTGTGCATGTTTTAGCATTAAAGCTATTGTTTTAAACCTTTGTGGCTTACAACTCTACTCCGTTTCGCCGATGAAACTCTTCATATTTTTCATTTGTTGGTAGACTTACAAAAGAAGACGCTGCTTATCTTCTTGTATTTTAGTCTTAATTTTAGTCACGTGCTTAACACTTTTGTCCTTCCTTGGCAGTAACAAGAAGCTGTGTACCGCGGAAGCGATGTCTCGTTATGGTCGCACTTTCCGACGCTCGAAAACATCGTCAAATTGGACGAAACTGCAGAATATAGACATAGGAAAATAGAAAAATACTCAAGAAGAACGAATAAAACCAAAAGGTGCGGCGATGACAGAGGATGGAAAAGATCACAACGGATTATAACTGGGCGTGACGAGCGTGAAAAAAATGTTTGGGCCACATTTTTCTAGACTCCCCTTCGAAATGTGTTTACGTTGTATTCACAGCGAAAGTTGTACCTGTCTATCTATTTTCATTGAGTTAAAGCTCAGCATAAATGGCAACGGCAAAGAAAAATTAAAGTTTTTAGACAACCTAGGGAAAAAAAGCAAAACTGAGATTTGTTTTCACAGTTATTGTAAATGTTTACTCCAGGTGTTCAAACGGATGAAAGCTTCAGTTCGCTACGAGCGATACTTTTATCCTCTTTGATGGGACAATACGCCAGTGTATGTTTTTTCAGTTGTCGTTTAGGTCATTCATCCTTATTGCTTCTAGTGGCCGACGCTTCCTAGCACAGTTCCTGTTGGCAACTGTCACGGTTGAAGATTCCTTTTAAGACTGCACGAAATTGTCCGGTTTCGAAATTTTTAGCTGAATTCCGCATTGCTCAGATTGGAAAAAGCTTCGTCTTAAACTGCTCGAGGAAAACAAAAGTTCGGGTCAGTTGTCTAGACGAATTCTCGCTTAGGCCCCGGTTTTAGAAAATCAATGGACTTAAAAGACTTTGTAAGGACGTTTTTTGAAAAAAAAAAAGTTTATCTGTGTTACTGGTGAGTCCTCTTGATCCTGCTTAAAAATCACTGCTTAGATAACACGTTAGATGGTTTAGAAGGCGATTTTGCACAACACTGACTCACCTTTGGTTGAATAACCGGCTCTTCCTTCTAAACCTGTCGTACGATGTTACTTGCATCCACGAGTTCAACTAC